AAAAAAAAAAAAAAAAAGGAAATTACATTTCAGAGAAATTCTATATATTTTATGTAACCTGAAATATCTACAAAAGTAGTAGTTTGTCATTTAGTAATGAACTAATGATCTCATATACAGTGTTTACTTTGGATGATTAATTATGCAAAAGTGCAAAGGGTCTAGAGTCTAAGAAAACAATCTCCTTTATCCTCTAAAGATCAGGTAATTACAGCACAGCTGGTATGATAATTTCATTAATACCTTGTAGGCTAGTACACTGCTGCTGCTAATGCCAAATTACAATCAGTTATAAATACTATTTCTTTAGTTTACTAAATAGAGAATATATCATTTAATTTCTGCTTTGTAGTTTATTTATTTATTTTTTTTTGGGGGGGGAGAGGTTTTTGCTACAGGGCATATGTGCTTGCTGGAAAGACAGAGAGAGACAGAAAGGGAGAAATCACCCTTCGAGGGGGATGGCCATGCCACAATCCCTTCTCCTCCATTCTCCTCTTGGGATCTTGGGCACACACGCACATGTGCCTGAGTTTTAAGCCACTAGGTTCGGGACTCAAACCCGACTGGCTATGTGAGAGTCTAGTGACGTAACCATTACACTGTCTGTTGGTCCCAAGTTTCTGCTTTATTTTCACTGCATTTTGCTCCTTGAGATAAATGCAGAGCAAAATCTAAAGTCCTAGCCGACTTCTTGCATCTGTAATTATTGACATACTGTATAAGACAGTGACTGTGTGGCCTGAGTGGCATAAAAGAGTTAAGATGATACTATATGAAGTATAATCCAAAAGTCCAAAATGCTATTTCACACACACAAAATACTGTTAATCTCAGCTGGGAGTGAAAAATCATGTAACAGACAACTAAGACCCAAGAGAAAGTTTCATGAAAATAGATCCCAACTTCAGAGTTTTATAGCTACAAAATAAATAGTGTTACATTCCCTGATAGGTAATTCACCCAACTTCAGAGCTCTGACTGTCTCGAACTATAAGGAGTGGGAGAAGGAATACACTGTGTACATCAGTCAAGATCTATTTTATTGGCTTGTCAGGTATTTAGAACCAAGTTTAAATCTAAGAATTATAGGAGCTCCAGATACTTAGATTCTTTGGGTTCATGAATTACTTTGCCTATTCCTGAGTATCTTGAGGGCACAAATACTATCATTTCACTTGGTAATTCATTACAGTGCTCAGCCTCCTACCTGCCAACATGTCTACTTTGTTTCTTTCCTACCTATTTTGGAAGATCTCAACACAACCCTATTTTATTTTCCCAGGTAAGCGAATGTGGTAAGGCAACAACATTTCTTTTTCAGTTCTTTATGCCCCAGACTTGTTTTTATTAACCACCAAGGAAAACTGAGCTAATTCTAAAATGACTTTCATGTACCTCCCTGTCTTTAATCGAGAGAATTTTCTTCAGCTTTTTAGTTCTATCTTTAGATGCAGGACTCAACATGACCCTCTTTGGTTTTGTCAACTGTAGTGCCAAAAGGGATTTTAGCTATTGAGAGAGAAAGATTTGGGTTTCTTCAGGAAAAAAATAAAAACATAATTTCCCCTAGACCTTAAAAATTTTCTCAAGAATCCATGAAATTCTACCTTCTCATTAATATTTATATCTGACTGATTTCTCTACCTATCTAAAGTACACAAAAGAAGGGACTTCTGATAGAGAGCAAGTGACAGCCAGCCACTTTTTGTAGGATCATTACGAGCAAATCCTGCTCACAATTTGATCCTGCAAATAACCAGAGCTCTGCTATTCCTCCATTCCCTTTATATAGAGGGCAGCTAACTGCAGTCTTTCACATCTGTATAAAATCTGGAGATACATTTCCCCCACCAATTTGGAGACCTCAAGTAATATCAGAAGTGTCTCAAAGACAGCAATATGGTCATTGTGGGTAGGACAACCCCTCTACTGTCTCGAATGTCCTGAGTAACACAGGATGTTTAACACCCAGCCCCTTTCAGCAAATGTCAGCAGTGGTCCCAGGTATTGAGAACACTGAATATACCCCTGTTCTCTTCAAAACCCTCCTTTGGATTGCAACATTGCCCCTAACGTGTGCTCAGATTCACTCAAGTTATGCTGATCATTTTAACAGCTTTCTTAATATGGATGGGGGAAGCTGATATTCTTGAAAATGATAAAATATTTTAATAAATTTAACAAAAATCAATAAAAAATATTATTTCCATAGTACTGCAAGTTTTTTTTTTTCCCTTCACTCGATCCATACTGCCAATAAAGAACAGCATCTGCTCATTAATTGAATAGAACAATTTCACCATCCCAAAGTCCAACCTACTACAAATACAGGGAAAAGATCTGGAATTGGCCAGTAGCTTCTGCTCAAGAAAAGTTTAATATTCTAAATTAGAATTCTGGAGAGCAGAAGGTTGAGGACCATGTGCAACAGTGAAAAAGCTTAGTTATACCTTTGAGAGCAAATGTATAGACCAAGATGCCAAAAGACAAAGACTAAGAAGAATTAGGAAGGAAAAAAAGGAGAGGGAGACAGGGACCAAGATAATCTTGGAAGCAACCTGGAATTCTGACTCTCCACTGTCTCAGCTCTAAACCTAACTACACATCTGAAGGGAGCTGCAGAAGCTCAGGAGGTCAATTGAGACTATGACCATACTGTAGAAAGGTATAGGTCACATCTAACCTTTGCTGGTTTTACTTGGTTCTGAGGACATGTTTCCAGTTTTCTTCTTTTTTCTTGGGACAGGAACACATTTCCGGTCAAAAGTAATAGGACTATACTGAGGGAGGCTGTTGAATTTTTTTTCAAATTCTTCATCCAGCTTTGCTGAGCTATTAAAAGGGGAGGAGAAAAATCAATGAGCACATGACCACATATTTGAACAGAAAACAATATGAGATATACTTTAAGATATTCTATTTGAAAAATAGGGTCCTTAGGAATGAGGGCATTTAAAATAAGCTTTTTATTAAAAACAAACAAACAAGTTAAAAAATTTCAGAAATCCTTGCGATTTACCAACACAGTTTTCTTAGTAAACTCAAATGGCAGTTTACATTATTATCTTAGAAAAGCAGAAACATCATTTAAAATATTATTTTTTTTTTTAGGTTTTTGCCATAGGGCATGTGCACTTGCCAGAGAGACTAAGAGAGATCGAGAGAGACAGAGAGAGGAAAAGAAAGAAATCACCCCCAAAAGGAGGATGGCTACACCACAATCCCATTTTCTCCATTCTTCTTTCAGGATTTTGGGCAAGCACACACATACACCTGGTGTGATTTTTAAGCTGTTGGGTCCAAGACTTGAACAGTGGTTGGCCATATGAAAATCCAGCACCTTAACTATTGCATCACCTGCTGGCCTCAAAATATTAGAATATTTTTAAAGTGGAAAATATGCCTTTGTTGGCATAAAAATTTTTCATAAAATTCACTACAAAGTATACTCTTAACAGTTTCTCATTTTAAAAATTCATATAGGTGCACAAGGGATCTTCAAAAAGTTTGTGGGAAAATGGAATTAAAGTGCAAGTTTATTTAAGGCAAAAATCACTTAGAAATCCATGCATAGATTTTTCATAATATGCATTTTTTATAAACTTTTTGAATATCCCATGTACATACAATCTTACTAGTAATATGCTATATTGGTAGTTTTTACAATTACTATCTTTTTTTAAAAAAAAAAAAGACCTTGAACTAGTATTTAAAAAGAATTATTTATTTAATTCCATTATTTATTTATTTATTTATTTAATTTGACCAGAGACAGAGAGAATAAGAAAGGGAAAGCGAGAAAGCAAGCTGCCAGTTCCAGGACTTGAACTGCAGTCGGTCATGTGGGAATCCAGCGCCTTTAACCACCTAGCCACCTGTTGTCCCCTTCCCCCATAGTAATCGTAAAGATTAGTATCCTTAAAAAATATTGAATAGTGCTTGATTAAAACACACATGTGGGGGCCAGCAGGTGGTGTGGTGGTTAAGGTGCCAGACTCCCTCCCATATGGAAAACTGTGGTTCAAGTCATGGACCTAGAGGCTTGAAAAATCATGTTGGGCAGTGTGCATGCATGCCCCAAATCCCAGGACAAGAATGTAATGTGCAACAGTGAAAAAGCTTAGTTATACCTTTGAGAGCAAATGTATAGACCAAGATGCCAAAAGACAAAGACTAAGAAGAATTAGGAAGGAAAAAAAGGAGAGGGAGACAGGGACCAAGATAATCTTGGAAGCAACCTGGAATTCTGACTCTCCACTGTCTCAGCTCTAAACCTAACTACACATCTGAAGGGAGCTGCAGAAGCTCAGGAGGTCAATTGAGACTATGACCATACTGTAGAAAGGTATAGGTCACATCTAACCTTTGCTGGTTTTACTTGGTTCTGAGGACATGTTTCCAGTTTTCTTCTTTTTTCTTGGGACAGGAACACATTTCCGGTCAAAAGTAATAGGACTATACTGAGGGAGGCTGTTGAATTTTTTTTCAAATTCTTCATCCAGCTTTGCTGAGCTATTAAAAGGGGAGGAGAAAAATCAATGAGCACATGACCACATATTTGAACAGAAAACAATATGAGATATACTTTAAGATATTCTATTTGAAAAATAGGGTCCTTAGGAATGAGGGCATTTAAAATAAGCTTTTTATTAAAAACAAACAAACAAGTTAAAAAATTTCAGAAATCCTTGCGATTTACCAACACAGTTTTCTTAGTAAACTCAAATGGCAGTTTACATTATTATCTTAGAAAAGCAGAAACATCATTTAAAATATTATTTTTTTTTTTAGGTTTTTGCCATAGGGCATGTGCACTTGCCAGAGAGACTAAGAGAGATCGAGAGAGACAGAGAGAGGAAAAGAAAGAAATCACCCCCAAAAGGAGGATGGCTACACCACAATCCCATTTTCTCCATTCTTCTTTCAGGATTTTGGGCAAGCACACACATACACCTGGTGTGATTTTTAAGCTGTTGGGTCCAAGACTTGAACAGTGGTTGGCCATATGAAAATCCAGCACCTTAACTATTGCATCACCTGCTGGCCTCAAAATATTAGAATATTTTTAAAGTGGAAAATATGCCTTTGTTGGCATAAAAATTTTTCATAAAATTCACTACAAAGTATACTCTTAACAGTTTCTCATTTTAAAAATTCATATAGGTGCACAAGGGATCTTCAAAAAGTTTGTGGGAAAATGGAATTAAAGTGCAAGTTTATTTAAGGCAAAAATCACTTAGAAATCCATGCATAGATTTTTCATAATATGCATTTTTTATAAACTTTTTGAATATCCCATGTACATACAATCTTACTAGTAATATGCTATATTGGTAGTTTTTACAATTACTATCTTTTTTTAAAAAAAAAAAAGACCTTGAACTAGTATTTAAAAAGAATTATTTATTTAATTCCATTATTTATTTATTTATTTATTTAATTTGACCAGAGACAGAGAGAATAAGAAAGGGAAAGCGAGAAAGCAAGCTGCCAGTTCCAGGACTTGAACTGCAGTCGGTCATGTGGGAATCCAGCGCCTTTAACCACCTAGCCACCTGTTGTCCCCTTCCCCCATAGTAATCGTAAAGATTAGTATCCTTAAAAAATATTGAATAGTGCTTGATTAAAACACACATGTGGGGGCCAGCAGGTGGTGTGGTGGTTAAGGTGCCAGACTCCCTCCCATATGGAAAACTGTGGTTCAAGTCATGGACCTAGAGGCTTGAAAAATCATGTTGGGCAGTGTGCATGCATGCCCCAAATCCCAGGACAAGAATGTAATGTGGCCATCCCACTGTGGGGTGATTTCTCACTTTCCCTCTCATTGTTTCTCTGTTTCTCTGGCAAGCGCACGCACCCTATGGCAAAAACCCAAACACACAGACACACACACACACACACACACACACACACACACACACATATTTTATGCACTAGGAAAAAACTTCTAGGGCGTTCCAGGAGGAGGATGACAAGCTCAATAAGCACAATAAAGCGGTTTTCAATGGGCACACACTGTTTCAATTTAAACCACAAATGACTTTAGAAACCCCAGCGGCAAAGGTAGGAAATCCTTAGGTTGCTCTTGACTGTCTCTAAAGTCCCCCACACAGCAGAGGCGGTGGTACTGGATCCTGGGTTGGCCGCTATCTTTCATTTAGTGAGACTTTTTGACTAAGATGCAACTCAGACAAATGGGAGGATTTAGGAAATCTGCTCTGCCTGGCAGATGGAAGATGGAGGGTGTACTCAGAAGAAGAGAGCCACTTTAGTACCAACTTACATAAAGCTCATGTACAAGAAGCTAATGTGGCAGGCTGCTAGCTAAGGGACGTACTCCAGATATTTCCACCTAAAGCTCTCCTCAGCTCTGGAGGAATGCAGAAGAGTTAGGAAGCAAAGATAACAGTCAGATGACCATCAGAATGCTCCAGAGAAAATGGCCACTACGAAGTTCAAAGCAGTGGAGGCTGGCGTGAAGGGGTAATGCTCCTCGCTTAATAAAACCATCTTGATCATTTAGCTGAAAGATTGTTTATACTGACGGATAAACAAATATTACCTGATACTAATCAGAAAACTATAAAATTTTTAGATACTCCAAATACCTAAAAGAAAACTAAAAATGTGAGATGTAACTCATCAGGTCTTTCGAGATATTTTTATAAAAGGATGACAATGATAATTACCTATGCTTTTCTTAAAGAAGTCTATACAATCAGTACTGCCAATACTGAGTGAAACGTTCCTGGCCACAGTTAGCTAAATAGACAGCACATTTTCTGAGATAAAAATGCTTAAAGACACTCATTCTACAAACTTCAGAGAAGACTGAGGGAAACTGGCATTTCTCACTGTTGACACTGTATCGGTAGGTTCTAAAAAAGGTGGACACAACTATACGGTTGTCGGAAGTCATGTCCTTTTCTATGCAAAACACAATAGATTTATCCTGACAGGGCAATATTTAAAGGGGGAAAGGAGGAAAAGGGCACTGAATTTTACTGTCACTTTAAACTTGTAGAAAAATCACAATTCCAGTTATACACCTATGGCTTCCTCAAGAAATGATTAAAACATACACATTCTACATATCCATTATCAAAAGACTGTTTTACTTATCTTATTCCTCAAAGACTGGTGAAAATCTCTCTCTAACAGCTTGAGTAGTTTTTAATGGAAGCATCAGAGAAATTTCTTTTTGGGTAAACTCAGTGTTTGCTATTAGGACTGTGTGCTGTCTGTAAAGAGATCTGCCCCCACCACCCAGCAAGTGTGCAGACCCAGAGGGCATGGGCGGTTCTGGTCTAGATGCTCAAGAGTCATTTTTAAAGGAAATTCTACATTCAAAAGTCCTTTTATACCATCATGTAAGCACAGTGTAAGTGAAACAAATTTCACTTTTTAAAATATTAGAAAATAGAGAGTTGTCAGAAAAGTCATGTCGTATTTTTTCTGTTTTCTAGCAAAAATGCGTAGTGACTTTTCCGACAATCCAATATATAAAATTTTATCATTTCAACATAAATAATCTCGACAAGGCAGCACTACAGAAAATAATTTCTATCCTGCCACTTTGTGATGACCCAGAGTCTTAAAATTAACTAGACTTTAAAGCAATGTAACTTTCAAGGAAAAATAGTATATTATTCCATAAACAGAAATGCAAATATTATGAATAAAGCAAATACAATACATTCAATGCATAAAATTTGCATACCTTTAAATACACTTACGAAAAAATATGGAGAATATAAAAATGTACTTATTTCTATTCAATATATTCTTTCCAAATTGGGCTAATGAGAAATCACAAAGGATTTCCCAAACAGAATAACTGAATATGCAGATATTTTCCTAACCAATATAGAGTATCAGATCTCCTAACTCACTAACAAAATATTTTATACTAGATTGCTAGGATGTCTTTAGCATAACACTGAATAATGTTTAATGATTTTATCTTGATGTGTGTCATTGTTTAATACTGTATTCCAATACATAATTAATATATTGAATGTTCTCTTTACCAGGAGAATATTCAACCTAATATTTTTATCTTAGAGCAACAGAAGATGGCGCAAATATAACAAGGTTAGAGGTGGAGCATAATTTTATTTACCTCATGTCTTTCAGCTGTCATATTATGTTATAAACATATGTCCATACATTTAAAATATTAAATGAAATACAAAGAGTATGTAAAATGGGAAAAATGTAAACATACTAATAGTATCTTCCCTAAGCTTCAAATGAGAAAAATACATTCTGGCAATATTAAAGATTTCTGACATCATGCCACTTTGATTCAAACTCAGGACCAAGTTCAAAATCTACATATTTTCTATTATATCTGAAACGAAAATATTTGTCACTCGCACAACCAGGATAGAGGCAGGTATCATGTGACATGCCTGATTTGTGCTGACCAGGGTATACACTATGACTGTAATAAATACTGAATACGGAGTCAAAGAATGAGCAGTTAGTGACCTCTGTTCACCTTGAAAATCCCACCCACACTTGGGGGCTGTGTAGTCGGCTCACTGGGCTCGCAGGAACTTACCCAAGGAGAGCGTCTTCCTTTGGCTTTGTCTTCTTGAACTTCTTGCTCGCACTGGTCCCACTCTGGCTAAATGTCCAGCTGTCTTCATTCCAACACCCTTCATGATCAGAGGAATTTCCTTTTCCTGAGCTTCGTTTTCCTATAAAAATTCAAGAAAAAGACTGCACTCAGTAAATTGCAGGGAGAGGAGGGAGATTAACTAAGTTGCTTCACAAAATGACCTCTTGATTCCTGAATTATTGTTTGTATGATGCTATTTGTTACTATTTCAGAATACTCACAGTGATTCATAGTTAACCATACTTAACAATGGAATATGCAAAAAAGGGACTTACAGGCTGAGATACACTGCCTTTCCACAATTCAATAGGTATCACGTAACTCGAGAGAGACTACTGCTAGCATTTCCATTTGATAACTAGCCTAAAGTATGACAGCCCTGGGCTGATGGGCACTATGAATTTTAATTCCCCCCAAATTCTCTAGAGTGACATCCCTGGAGAACTATGTACTCTCAAGTATTTTCATTCAGGGCTTCTTAGACCTATGACTCACATAACACTTGTAGCAATATGTAGCTTGGTAAGAGGTAGTTGTCCTTAGCCAGATGCGATATTTTAAAATAAAGAATTTATATGAAATACTATGTACTAAAAGCATCCATTAACTAGTTTTTCAATGTTTTCATGTTTTAAAGAGCCTTTCCCTTCAATTATAGTTTTGACTACTTATTGGAGAAAACTAGATAAAATGAAGCCTACAGATCAAGATTCTCCCCATAATACATGCTTGATTTAGGAAATTCTCTTCATTTTAAACACCCAAACAAAAGCATCAAACGTTCAAACAAGAGCAAACTCATAGTTATTAAAAAAATTGTATGTTGGGGGCCAGTAGTTGTCATAATGGCTACGTCGCAGGACTCCCATGTAGTTAACCCCGGTTCGAGTCTTGAACCCAGTGGCTTAGACTCATGCAGGGTGCATGTGTGTGTATGCCCAAGATCCTGAGAAGAGAATGGGGAAGAAGGGACTGAGGTGTGGCCATTCCCCCTGGGGGTGATTTCTTGCTTTCTGTCTCTCTGTCTCTGTCTTCCTAGCGAGTGCATGTGCCCTATAGCAAAAACCTCACAAAAAAAAAAAAATGTGGATAGGGTCACAGAATATTACTTTGACTATGTCTATCCTGAGAACTATCTACAAGATGAATACACACTCTCCCTGATGGTGTTAGAAAACATGTAGATAAAATGACAAATGAATCTGATCAATAAACCATAAGGAACCATACAAATGGAAGATACTGCTCATATTGCTCTTTATGGCAGTTCTTATCAATAGGTCTAAAGGAAAATTCTACTTGGCTTATATATTCTTTTTCAGGTTTCTAGAAGTCACATACCTCTGTCAACATTGGCTCGCAGAGAGGTGAGCATGCCCTCGGACACCAGGGTTTTATAAAGAGCACCTTTGCAAGACCTCTCGGATTTTCTGGAGCCACAAGTCTCTATTTTTCTGTGACATTCGCTGTCCTCAGGTTTGGCCTGTCCCGTTAGGCTGGGTGGTAGTGTATCCTCCGTGGGGGTCAATGGTTCTGCTTTTATGCCCTCGGGCATCTCACCAGAAATGGTCTTGCTGGCAGAAATACTAATGAAATCTGGAGGTCTTGACTCTTTGGTGGTGTCTGAGGATTTCTCCTTTGACATTTTCTTCTCTCTTGATTTCACTTTCTTCTTTGGTGGCTTGGCATCCAAAATGCTTCCCTTGCCACTTGAGGATATGCGGACCTTCTTGCGAGGTGTTTCTCCAAATTTCTCAATGCCCCAGTCTCCTTTTGCAACAGCTTCAATGGTGTATATGACACTCTCAATGTCAGACTCGGAAGACTGCCTCTTTTTGCAAGCCTTCTTGGGTGTGGATTTATCATTTCCATGCCGATCCATTTTGTTTTTCTTCTTTTTCTTTTTTAGCTTTTCTGGTTTGTTTAATGCTGTGGGATCTTCAATGATCATAATTCCATGAGGATGACAGATGTGATCCTTTCTACTGGGGACATCACTTATTATTATCTTGCTACTAGCAGAGTATGAAAAATTAGGGAAGTGACTAAATTTTTGATTTTCCTCTGATTCTTCCTTTCTAATTTCTTTGGGATCTTCCATTTTTATAGTTGTTATATCATCCATTTGCAGCTCCTCAAAATTTCTTAATTCCTTAGAATCTCTTAGATTTTCCTTAGCTGATCTTTCAAATTCTGCTTCCTTTTGTAAGCTCATTTCCTCTGTTTTTTCCATTTTTATTTCTATTTCTTCTTTTCCCTTTTCCAGTTCTGTAATTCTTCCGCCATCTGATTCTTTTGCTTTTATTAGCTTGGATTCTTCCATCTTCACCCCCTCTGATGCCAGGCACATCTAAACAGTAAAAATAAATATGAGAGAACATCGAAAAAGATCATTGTTACTCCATACTCAAAATTAGTTTAAACCTTAAAATGAAACCTCTTTTAAAATCATCAAAACAAACTTCAAACTTTCCAGCCAGTTTCTGCCAAACTAACTTAAATTATTCAAATTAAACTCGAAACAAATATATATCTAGATGATCATTTTTGCACATCATCAGTTTTCCCTATGAACACAAGATAGGGTAGAAGGAGGATGGAATTCAGAATTGAAAGACCCAAATCTGAGTCTCAGCTTTGTGACCCAGAATGAATCACTTAACTCTTCGCTCCTCTATAGTCTTTGTGAAACAGGAACATAACTCAGAGATTCTGTGAGGTCTAAGTGAGATGATGCACTTGTTAACTACCCCACGTCTTCAGATGTCTGTCTTTTCTTTTTTTCAGGAAAGCAGCAGTAAGTCCTACCTATCCACTTAAAATTTAAAATGATATGATGATCTACTGAACAACCATAGAAGGTTTTGATGAATGAACAAACTATTGCAGGTGCATAAATACTGATAGGTAACTCTAAAATCACAAAAGTTCTATAAATAAAAGCTTTTGTTTTGTTTTGTTTTAACTCACTTGATCTTATTTGAACTTCCTTGGCTAAAGATTCTAATTTGAACCAAAATGAAACTGCTTATCATTTTAAACAGTTTATCTCACTTTTGTGACTATCCATACCTTATTACTATTGAAATATGCATGCATTTGAGTGTGCACTGGGGAAATCACATCGTCTAAGATATGTCTTCTGCATCCTTTTTCTAAAATCTGAAAAATTCTGAATACCAAAACCTATTTGGCCTTAATTTGGTTAAATTTTTAAATTCTTCACCAAAATTCTTCAAACGTGACATCTAGGGCAGACAAGAGGAAATACATGATCTTTCTCTCAGCTCCCAAGTACCCTAAAACTTCAATCTAAAAATATTTTCTAGAATGAGAAATTGCAGTTTATTCTAAATTTGTTTTTAATACCTGATTTGCATTCATAAACACTTAATGGCAAGGCTGCCAAATAAAAGACCCATGAAGGACACTAAAGATACACATGTCAATAAGATTGGGTCTCTGCCTTTGAGAAATTTATTAGGAGGTTGATGATGCTCATCTTGTTAATGGTAGCACAGGACGTCTTGGCCATAACGTATTTTATCTCTTTGGCATTAGCAACTCACAAGAGAAAGAGTACTGGAGCTTGCTGAGTCAATACAAAATCTTCCACACGAGTAAGAAACTGATCTGTTTTTAAAAATTAGCAGCTTATCAAACAGCAAGTTGTCAGAGATCATTAACATCTGTATAATTCATTTTTGAATGGATAGTACACTGAATTAAATATCAGATATTCTTATGCCTCATTTTTTCTTTAGTACTTTCCATGCATCACAAATCTTTCTGTTAGAATTATGTTATGATTAGTCAGTCTAGGAAGAAACTGGAGAAAGGATGAGGGAGGCAGATACTGTAATTAAAAAAAAAAAAAAGAAATGAATATGACAAGAGTACTCAGACCTTCAGATGATTCACAGAGAAGATGTGAAATATTAAGAATTTACAACAGAGCTGTCTTTTTCAGGAACTCATGGAAGTTAACTTGTGGACCTTAGCAAGTAGTTAAGAAGACAGAGAATTTCCCTTTAGTAAACCTAAGACCAACTCAAAGTAAGATGTTATCATAAATTAGTTCTGAAGCACGCATTTAGTCTTCTCTGAGTGTTTTACTTTTATCAGAGATTATCAGAGAATGTGTTGGTTTTGTATCAATTTTCAAATAATTTTAATTTTTGTTTTATAATTATTCTAGCCGTTTATGAATAACTGCCCCATGTGGAGACAGAAATTATACTAGTTCTCAAATGTAAGCTAGAAATAAATTCTCCAAGTAAATTTTATGGCATTTCAACCATGATCACTCTGGTGGCTTTTAATAGGTCATTGAAGGGACCTTTTACTATCGAGGTGCTACTTTCTACAGTGCTAGTCCGACAGTTTACATTTGCACAGGTTCCTCTTAGCAAACCTAATAATACCTTGCAAACTCTATTCTCCACTTCAATATATTTCAAAATGATTCTTCTCATCACCCCTGATAGGATTCTACAGCTAGGAATGAAATGGAACAAATGCAGACATTCACTCTGGGGACATATTCTGGGAAATAGCATAATATTTCTTGTGTAGGTAATTACACTGAACACTAGTCATGCTTTACTTCCTCGTTTCAGGCTCTTACAGTTTTTTCACAAATAGAGTATGTTAATCCTAAATTATAAGAAAAACAATTATATGCCTGGAAGTGAAATTATAAAGTAAAACAAACAACTCTGAATTTAAAAACTACAAAACATAAATCTAGTCACTAACCAAAAACCAAATCAGACTCTCAGGTGGGTGTCACTCTAGAGGTTATCTAATTCAATCTCATCACAATGCAGGAATTCATTTTACTACGGTATTCCTGAGAGTTAATTAACCAACTTTTGCACAAAGACCACGAACATGGTCTTTTAGACTTTAGTAAAGGGCAGTTCTGTTTGAAAATTTGTTTTTAATATTGAGCAAAAATCGATCACCTAGTAGTCTTAGTTCTAGTCCCTGAAGCCACATAAATTAATACATTCTTTCTCATGACAGATCTTAAATCTTTCAAATAGACTTTATTTTCCCACAAGTGTCTTCTCCTGGTATAATGTCCAGGCTCTTTTAATAGTTATTCACATGTAAAGACTTCAACCTTTCAAAAGCTCGGTCCCTATTATCAATTAATAGATGGGGTATAGTACCCTCAGTGACAATGGGCTTTATTGAGAGAAGTGCATAACTAAACACCATAGCTTGCCTAAAACCATACAGTGACCTATGTAACTTAAGACTTGACCCCGCAAGAGGAAACAGGCTGAGAAAAGGGGTACTACTACACCCTCCATTGGGCTATTGCATGGCAAAAGGCAATAAATTGTGAGACTACAACTTGCAAATGATAGAAAACTGTACAAGGGTGGGGGAAAATGGGTATTTCAAGATTTAGCAAAATCCCTCTTAGAATGTTCCTAACTCTCCTGTAACACGCACTGCCAGTTGATAGTGAAGCTAGGTATCTATTTAAAAGGGGCAGAGATGATTTTTAAAAAAAGGGGGGGTCATACTTCTGGCTTACATGATTTCACTTGCGGTCAATTAAAGTCCTGGATTTTTTACCCATATAATATTCTGGGAAACTTGGTCTCTCCTATTTCATATTTTTACAATGAATTTTTTATTGTGCCTATTAGATGTAAGACCTTCCATTTTTCCTTATAAAGTTTATCCTTTCAGATGTGAACTACATTATCTTCAACCTTTGTATTATATACACATCTGATATCTGCTTTTCAGGGTTTTATCTGAACCTTTGGTTATAAGGTTGAGTAAGACATGACCAAGGACAGAACTTTCTGGCAAACTTCTAGAGCCCTTTCATCAGGTTGATATGAACATTAGTAACTTCGGCGGTGCCGACAGATGGTGCAATGGTTATGTCACTCGATTCCCACATGGCTGGCTGCAGGTAAGAATCCTGGACCCAGTGGCTTGAAACTCACGCCAGGCATGTGTGCGTGTGTTCCCAAAAGCCCGGGAGAATAGAGGAGAAGCGATTGTGGCATGGCCATCGCCCCAGAGGGTGATTTCTTGCTTTCTGTTTTTCTCTGATGAGTGCATTTGCCCTATGGCAAAAAACTCTCTCAAAACAAAAACAAAAACTTCAGCAACCTAAGAATGTTCTATAACACAGTCTATTGGGTTATTGTAAAGTCATGGTGTATTTTTTCTGTTTTTCTATGCAAAAACGTGACATGATTTTTCCGATGACCCAATAAATTCTTCTCTTCTTGCTTAAACCTGAGTAGGGTATGACAATGGCATCTTCTTAGCCCATTGTATACCTAAATACCACCACACTACAGAGGAAATGAGATGTCTAATCATAGAGTCTAACTTGACAAGCAAACAAACAACATAAAGCATCACCAGTAGAGGGAACTTATTGGGGGAAACAGGATCATGACACAGGTCACAAAAACTGAGACATCCAAACACGAGGTGGTGCGGCAACAAGGGATGACCGTTGGCAGAAAGCCACAGTAGAGACAAATGGGGACAGAGTAACACTGAAGCCCAGGTGCCACGTTCCCAGTGGAAGGTGGGTGCGGGGGAGCTTAGCTGGAGGGAGGTGGAGCATGCAAGCAACAACGTCTTTGCTTTACCAGGGCACCTCACCCCTTCCCTGCAAACCCTAGCCTCTCTCTCTTTCATCTCCTAAGTCTCCCACCAGTGTCTTCTACTGGCTGAAACCAGGTGGAAACCAGGGGAATACTGAAGCTGAGGAAAGGCCAAAGTAGCCACATGCGCTATGAGGCAGCACACAGGGCAGACAGACACTGGCATGACATACTTGACAGAGACCTTTTTAGGGAAAATCTGAAAATGACCAGTCTGCATCCTCTTTTCTATGAGTTTGAACAATATATTATTAGAATAATTTTCTAAAGTGAACTCTATGAAAATTAGAATGCGTGTGTTCCGTTTTTGTTCTTATTGAGTTCTCCTATTTTCCACGACTTGTCAAAGATTACCAAAGTGAGACTAAAACCTCATTTGCAAGGTCTGGCAGTATCCTACAATCTGATTTTTCTGCTGCTTGAAACCCAAATTAATACTAAGACCATGTGACTTCAGCTTTCTTCATTTTGACTTGGAATACAGTCTTGTTTTCTTTTCATTTACACTTTTGAGTTGAAACATTTTCCTTGCCCCTCCCTCAAATGGTAATCACACAATTATACAGTTTTCCTTCTCTTGTTTCTGTTGGCTTTACTTTCCCTAATCTGCACACAGCCATTATCTTTCTATATTTATCTAGCTCCAAATGGTTAAAAAATAGCCTTAAGTATTTTTGGTTTGTTTTTGCCAAGTACT